TACGGGCTAATTCGGGGGGGGGGGGTGTTTGCCCTAACCAGTTTCCTCCTCAAACACGACATTCCCTTTATTCATCAACCAGCTGATGCATCCGAGGCTCTCCTTTTGTCTACAACGCCCTGCTTTTAGGACGAAGGGTGGAGGGAAACCAGAACAGCTAGGCTCTCCTTTGTTAAAAACGGCCTTTCATCACACGAAGGGTGGAGGGAAGCCGGAAGAGAGACCAAATGAATCCTAAGGCTCTCCTTTCTCTATACCGCCCTGTTTTTAGGACTGAGGGCTGGTTTCCCAAGAAAAAAACTTGGAGCTCGAAAAAAACGATCGATCCGCTCGAACCACTCCACCAACCCGGATCCGATCCCGCCTCGCCCCAGGAGAGGTTGATGGAGCTGACCCCGCCCGGAGCCTGGGCCACCTTGTAGCCTACGACACGGGGAGCTAAGCGAGCGATGGATCGATCCCAGGTCTTCCGAACCCGAGGCAGGCGCCCCATGGCCCCCCTGTCAGGAGGAAACCGGCGGGTAAGAAGAGGCCTGGTGCTTTGGGTGCTTTCTTCGCGCTATTTGCTGAGGGCTGGAGGAGAAGAGGAGAGGAGGGTGGAGGGAGGGTGTTGAAGAATGATTGGGGGACAGCTGTGGCCAAAAGGGGAATCCCCCGAGCTCATTTCCTGAGTGGATTCGCAAACCAAAGTAAGCCCCCCAACCTTTTAAAAAATGGCCCCGGAAATTGTAAAGGCCATGAACTCGCGGATTAAGTGGCTTGCCACGGCGCTGAACAAATACCGTCTCTTTGCCATTGTCCTTGAACAAAAGCTCACAAATATTCGCTAGCCGGTGCCACTAAACAACACGCGACAAACACAGAAACAAGCCATGACCACTTCCCCGAAGCAGTCAAATTTCAAAAGACCACCAAACCGCAGGGTCCTGGCCCACCAAAAACCGTCTTGCGCAAGCCTCAAGGCTTGGCTCAACCGCAGAAAGGCGATCAAACCGTTCAGATGGTACCGGAGGCCCCTGGAAGACCGAAAGTCACGCGCAAAGGACCATGGCCGTGCCTTGCGGCCGCTTGGGACCCGTGAAGTTCGGGTCATTCCTGGTGCGTGGGTTGCCGGCGACAGAGGGAGGCTTCGGCCTGGACATATACGCGCATACATATTCATGTACTCACTTCCTGAGTGGATTGGCCCAGACATGTCTGAACTTGTTGTTCACCAACTAACTTGTCTTCCCAAACATGTCTCAAGCCCAGGAATTCAGGCAGTGAACACATTCATACAAACATAGTGGTCTGAGTAGGTCGAGTCATTGGCATAAGACGAACCTCCTCTTGCCCTCTGAGACTTCCGGATGTCCGTCCTGTTCAAACGTTCAGGACTCCCTCAATTTCAACTTGCTTTGACCTCAGAAGTGTGGTGACCCCTGTAGACAGCCCTCCAGAGATTCCTAGTGACACAAGCAGGGGGCACAGGGGCAAGCTTAAGGTGGTGTCCTTTGCAAGCCAGCGACGCATGTATTGTTGAAGGGTCCTCATCTCTGGAGCCACTTCCTGAGTGGATTTGCCAAACAAGTCCAACCTTTTTACCACTAGAATGGTCTTCCCAAACAGTTGAAACTCCAAGAGCTCAGGAAGTGGACGGAGTGAGTATAGGTGCACCCCCTGGGCACAGCAAACTTGAAGGAATGGTTCCTGAAAGATTGGGTCTGCGCGAGAAACACGCCACCACAAACACATGCCCACCAGAACTTTGTCGCTTGTGAAGGAGTCAGGTGTTGAAAAGGCAATGGATTTCTGGCAACGAACCCCCCTGAAAGTTCCCAGAACTTGCCGCGACGCAGTTTGCCTTGGGCTCACCAACTTGCGCATCGTCGTGCCATTGAAATGCTCAAGGCCTGCTTTGTGGTGGGGGGTTATGTGGTGCATTCGGAGCACCCCTTCAATCAGGAAAAAAGGATAAAACAAGGTACTCGCACCCCTTTTGGACAACCCTCATTCTGGGCATGGATTGTCACTGGGACCCTTTGGTGGACATCATTCACATCGGGAAATGTGTCCACCAACCATTTGGGAGGGGATTCCCCATTGCCATAAAGCAAAAAACAAGCCACCGTAGCCATATCCGGAGCACCGCTACAAAACACCTAAAGATACCCACCCAAAGGTCGAGCTTTCTGCCGAGTCTCTGCTGCTGATGTGCGGCGATGCCTTTCTGCACGTTGTTTGACCTTGCCAGTCGGGTCGATGAAACTCCCGCAAGGGGAACTCGAGGGGACATGAAACCAAAATGAAAAGCTACTCCAGCGTGTCATGCCCAGCAGAACCTGAGCCGAGCGTTGGATTCTGCTGTGAAGGCACGAGTTGTGGAACTTGGACAAGAAAGTTGCCAAGATCAGCTGCCCCCAGCTCACTTTTCATTCAACCTGCAGTTGTGTTTCTTTCCAAACAGGCAACCCTACACAAAGAGCTTCTTTGCTATCCCTTTTCAAGTGAACCAGAAAAAGGAGCTGGTCTGGTGGCCTCACAGCTGTATTCCCCGTGCAGCTCGCCACAAGGAATTTTCCTTCGGGGGAAGGAACGCTCGGCCGGCGCAGTGCCGTTCGCCATCGAAAAACGTCAAGACGTCTGGCTCCAAAGGCTGGGCCCTCCGTCACCTTGTCCAAAACTTGCTACGCAGCAAAAGGACCCCAACTCGACCATGGCCAGAACCTTCTTGGAGCTGGGCCAGAAAAACCGTGAGGCGAACATTGGGGCAACCCGACAGAATCAGGTGATTCTGTCGGCAGCAGGGAATGAGAAATGGACAATGACCCAATCATGAAAATACACACATCCCCGATTTGGTCTCCTGGAATTGGTTGGAATCCCCAATTCCGGCTCATTCAAGAACAACCCGGACTCGGTGTCCTTCGTTATCGCATCAGCAAGCAAAAGGGCGTCCCGCCCGAACATTGCACCGCCGCGTTCGAGGGCCTTTGGCCTTTGCGACGCTTGCACCTGGAGCCTCGTGTGCTCACCGAGGTTCCGGTCCACTTTGATCTCGTGGAACCTGCACACATGGATCCTTTGCTTGAACCAGAGAACCGGGGTTGGTCACAATGAAAGGAGCCCTCCCAAAGATGGACCTTCATGCTCATGTTCGACGCCTACTCTGTGAATTTAGAAAGAATGCCCTTCGTATCACAGATCATCGGCCAACATTGTGCACTGTTTGCTGGAGACATGGGATCAAGCGAGAAGCCCCAAAACAACACAAGGCTTTGGAAGCTGAATTTGGTTCCAGACTCCTCAACCCAACAAACACATACACAAGCACAACAAGGCGGCGCGTCGCTTGGAAGAATTACACTGGGCCAGTCCGTGGTGGGTTGAGCCCAAGATGTCGCTCTTTTGGATCTTATGATGAACCTCGTCGGGCAGACTTCGGGAACTCTCTTGGTTGAACGTCACAGCAGCTAGGCGGTTTGATCAAGCCCAATTGCAAAGTTGCTTCTTTCATGCCCAGTTGCAAAGTTGTCGGCATTGAACTCCCTTCTACAACTATGACTCTGAATAATCCACAGCTTCTCTAAAGTAGGTTTTCCTTTGGTTCGGGTTCCAGAACCCTCCCAAGGATCCCCAAGTCTAGGTGAGTTCACTCAGCCGCCTTCGTCCTTTGGTTTTGCGGGTGTACCTCTCATGCCAACAGTCCCATCTCTTGCCTGTGAGACGTTCATTCCCGCACGGATGGCATCAAACTGGCTCCTCAGCAGCCGCGAGCCATCCAAGTTTCAAGGCGTAGTGAGGGTTGGTAGGGGAATGGAGGGTTGATGGAACGCCAAGCAACTGTGGAACCAGTTGGTGTGCTCATTAGGGAATCGCGAGAGCCCCAAAGTAAGCACGTCGGTTGACCATGGTCCAACAAGCATCCTCCAAACGACGCTGTTGGGTTCAACCTGCCAACAAACTTGCTGTGCGGCTGAGGCTCCGGTATCCAGGTTGCGTCTTGCAGAAAGACATCAGACATCTCGAACGTGTTGCCTCCGCAGGATCAATGGGCACATCCCTGCTGATTAACATGGAAACCCAAAGATTTCCCCCGCCCACTTAAAGAAGACTCCTCTAATAGTTGACTACAAAGGGTCAGGACACTCAAAGTGACGAATTTGTGGTAAACGATCAGACCGCTTGTACTCGTTGAACAAACACTGAAAACAGCACATTGACATGCACACATGCTATGTTTGGCTCGAGTGTGCTTAGTTTGGCGGTTCACCAACCTGATGTATGCCATTGGACTACATGACATGGGTTCGATCTGATTGCCGACAAAACCCACACGCACACACCCCCAAGCATGCAAGCAATAAACCACTGAGACCGCGCTAGCAAATCCACTACGTTCGAAATGACTACGGACACTCCAGTTGTTCACATGCAAGTCTGCAAACCAAGGAATCGAGCGTGGCCATCGCTCGGTGAGGCTCGCGTCATGCGAACAGCAGAGGACAGAGCGGGCATGAGTAAAAACAGCCATCCCCAAGCTGCATTGACGGTGCCAAGCAAACATCTTCCTGCCAACGGTTGCCGCGGTTCAGAAACCACCCCTGTGGAACGGGGAAGGCTCGAAGCTGTTCGTGTCGTACAGCCGGGGTGGACATCGGCGCTGGCTTGAGGACACCAGCCCCTCTCACATCGGGGCACGCCGTTCTTGAGGCCATCTTTTGGGGGGGGGATGCGGGAGGCTCCATTTGGAGGCCTGCCCAGCATTTCAATCAACTACTGAAACTTCAAGATAAGATATAAATAGACATACACACATGTTCAATGTACAAGATTTGAAGCACAATTTGAGACACGCGAACGTTCATTTTAGCCAAAACATGCAGTTCATCTTACAATGAAACTTGTTGCTGTTTAATCCTCCATAACTACAATTGGATTGTCACACATTCGAAGCATGTACATGAAACTTTGAAAAACATTTCTCTGCAAGCACCTTTTTCGGGGGGGGGGGGGGGGGGGATGAAATCCGGCGAAAAGAAACCAATGCATCACGTGCGCAAAACCCGCAACAAGATTCTAGGACACCCTCCAAAATTGTCGCAAAGAGTTACGCCTCCGCGAATCTATCTTGAGGCCTTGAGCCCTCTCTGAGCAATTTATAAACAATTCAGGCACCACCAAACAAAACAAAACAAATACATTTATAAAACAACTTAGGCACCGACAAACAATCCAAAAAATACAAATTTATGAAAACAAACGAAACCATTTACAAACAAATTTATAAACCTCCAAAACAAACCACGGGAACGGGTGACTCACCGAGGCGCTCCAAAGCTCCCCGTTCTTGTGCCGAGCGTAGGAGTCCTGGTTACAATGATGAGAACCCATTGAGAACTCCCGGATCCCCAAATGAACAGAATGGACAGATGCGTGTATGGTTTAAGTTTGCTTAGCCCATGATATTTGTAGGGTTATTGGAGGGGCACACGCACACGCACATACATAGACACACACACACACATACAAACGGACACGTACGCGAACACACTGAATCTTATGCTCACAGCAGTTCTTCCGAGCATCGCCGAAACCCAGCGCCCCCACCCAGCAACAGTCCGGAAAGTTCACTGACCGCAGCGACACCGTAGTGCACGGTGACGACCTTGACACACGCTTTGAGAAAGAAACGTAAACCGCAGGCGGGCAAATGTTGCGGCTGTCTTTATCTTCCTTTGCAAACTATCAAGGAGGTCGCTCATGTCATGTCAGGAAAGACTTGCATCTGTTGAGCTGGACGCCCGGACCCAAGAAGATCACCCTGTGTCCACCAAACTCAGTCACAAAAGCACGATGGGCTGCGACAAGCAATGTTATGCAAATTCCGGGAGCTTCTATGCTCGAAACAGACTTGTAAGGGTTGAATCCAATATGCTTTCCACCCATCCTTCTTCTCCGAAACAGCCCCAAATTCCTCGCTCGCCCATTCGCAGGAGAAGCAACTCTGCAATGGGGAGGATACAGCTGGAAAACCAAAAACCACAAGTTTCACGGTGTCGGGAAAAGCGCCAAAACCCAAACATGTCATGTTTTGTTGGGGGGACCACGCTGTTGGCTTTTGAGAGGTTCTTAGTTTGGCACCTCTCCTTTCGGCCTGGCCTCAAAGTGCCCTCATCAAACTAAAAGAAATCCGAGCACAAACCAACTTTAAATCTTGTTGGTCTCCTATTGAAACGCCCAGAAGGGCACGGGTCAAAAGATCTGCGCACACACACACACACGCACATGTGCCTGATCAACGTTCAGCCCTACACCCATAGGATTTGTCGTGATCTACGCAATCCTTTGAACGCAGGGCAAAGATTCAAGTACAGCGTTGGGCCAGCCTTTTGTTTACAACATGGGATTAAAGACTCGTTGTATAGACAAACAACCTGTTGGTTCCCCTATGCCAACTTCTGGTTCAAGCGCATTTCCCAAATTGACTCGCACAGTACTTCCAGTTTTGGTAGGTCGGCAGACCACATGGCTGTGGGTCAAAATTAGGCACCCAAAACGGGCTGCCCTGGTAAATGGAAACATGGACGATTCAACCTGCGGTCCGCATCCTGGTGGTTTAATTTTGACCCATACCCAAATAGGGGAGCTCCACCCAGCTCTGGGAACCAGGGGATCTTTGACTAAGGCTGGTTTTGTGCTGCTGGAAGCCCTCGCGTGCCCTGGAACTTCCCAATCGGAGAAGCGTTCCTTTCGGCGAAGCGTCGCGAGGCCCGGCAGCGCCATCCAGGACGCGTCCGCGGCGAAGAGAGCAGAATCATCTGACACACCGAGCCTCAGCAAAGTCGCGCCGGGGAACCTTGGTTGCTGTTGACCCCCCTGCAAAAAGTTCAACTTCTTTTTTTTTAGGGGGGGGGGGTAGTGGCAAACCCCCCTGATTTCCCAAAAAGTTAAAGTCTAAGATCCAACCCAATAGCAGTTAAGAAACTGAAAGCCAAACATTCCCGATTGCTTAGAAGGCATACAAAGTTCAGGTGTGCCGTTTTAACCCTCCTCAAAAATATTCGGGTTGGAGCTGCTTATATGGGTATGGGTCAAAATTGAACCACCAGGGGACCGCAGGTTTTAGTCCTTCTTTCCCTTTACTAGTGGTTCCATTTACAGTACCTATTTTTTACCACGGCCATATGGGGTTTACTGACAAGGAGTTTGGTGCATGGGTCTGACAGTGAAGTTCTTGAGTAAGCGAGTCTGGCGGCATACGTGGCCGCAACTTGACCCCTGAAGGTATGGAGGGCGTGTCAACTTGGCTCGTCCTCTGCTTATCCGGGAGCAAACCTACCGGGGCATTGGGTTCAGAACAACCCTTCCATTGCTTTTCACATGGATTTACGAATGCATGTGGTGGATTGTGACCTCTCCACTCTGCACAGGACCCCACCTCCCCACGTTTCGAGGGAGGGCCCAAAACCCAGAAGTTGAGTCAGGCAGCTCCAAGCGCCCGCACCGGTGCCGCAGGAAGTGCCCAGGCCGCGACAAAGCCTCAAGGCTCACCGTGCCCCCAGGCCGCAAACCGGCAACGACGCGGAAGGCCTGGCGGACGTAGGAACTCGGGAAAGATCCGCCCCTGCCGGAATATAGAGCTGGGCTGTTCAAATTGGGGGGTTGGCCAATCCTAATCCATAATCCCCAGAGGAAAGCCCACTACAAAGGGTACCCCTTGCGTAACCCCAGGTAAGGATTAAGGACTACCTTTGAACAGCCCAGTAGAGGGGGAATTCATCCCGGTTGGTGGGAGTAGAGTTATTGGAGTCACAGGGCTCAAGAAGCACCAGCTAAACATCACGTGAAGCGTAGCTTTGCAGTCCCAATGGCTCAAGGTCAATGGCATCCTTTGTTTGTGGATGACGATGAATACCGAGTGTTGTACTCATGCCATCAAGTTGACAATCAGAAGCAACTTGCGTTCTGAGGCATTGGAGCTTCCGGCAAGGCCCAGCTGACGAGCCTGAAACTAAAATCGTGCCGTTTCTCGCTCCGAAATGGCACATAGCACACCTCTCTGACCCCAAACAAAAACAACCGACGAGGAGCCGAGGTCGGCTTTGAAAATTGAGAGCAATAGTTCTGACTTTTCTTAGACATTCGTCGTTCAATCTCAAAGTGGCTGCAACCATAATGAGCAAAATACTGATACTATAATTATACAAAAGCGGGACAGAGGTCGGAGGACAACCCGAGCACAAGTCTCAGCAACAAAAACCAGCAACGCCCAGACCCCACCTCTATTGCTCGACCCAATTGGCACTTTTGGGTAGAGTAGAACATGGTTCTTGTTTCCTGGCAGCACCGAAACTGCAGGGAAACAAACAGACAGGGCTTTGATCACCTTGTCACGGCCTAGCTTGCGAGAGCCCGCAAAGGCGCCCAAACCCCCTCGGCCGCCTCGTCGGGGCTTTTGGTCAACTTGCCGTCGTAGCCCAGGAAGACGTCCCATCCCTTGTGGCTTTGCCAGAGAACGCTTAGTTGCCCAAGGGCCATTGGGTTTCTTTGGGAACGTGTGGGCCCGGCATTGGCAATGGGTCGAAAGGAATCCATGTCTTCCCCTACAAGCCGCCCTGGCCCCAGTGTTCGTGGGAGTCTGCCCCCCCACCCCCCCCCCCCCACCCCGCAATTAGCTTACACGTATTCCAAGAGCGGTCTTTTGAGTCTACGTCCCGATGAACCCAACGCCTCTCCTGGCTTCCCTCACCACCTGTCCCAAAATGTGGGCCCTGGTCTTGATTTTTCCTTAGCAGGAATTTTCGTCTAAGTTCTCCTCCAAGGTCCATGACCATCCCTCCTGGTCCCCGTATTCATAGGGTCTTGTCTATCCCACCCCAAATCAACGGGCGATAGTTTGGTCCACATACAAACTACAACGAAACAATATGTTGTTCAGTTTCTGCTTCATATGTCAACCCGAAATATGACACCGTCTTACTTGGAGAAAACCGAACCTGTGGCCATTGTCTCCATAGCCGACCTGGCCTGTGCAACCCGCCAGCGGCACCGCATCCCCAGCTGCGGTGCACGTCGGGCCGCGGCCGCGGCCGCGCAGGGCTGGGGTGAAGCCGTGGGCACACCCAGGCCCGCGCGCGGCCAGCCGTCCTCCTGGTGTTCACAACTGGTGCTTTGGAATAGTTTGCAGGGTTAAGAGGATATTCTCCATTTACCCTCTGCAATATTTTCAGAATCAGGGGTTGGTTAAGAGGTGATTTTCCATTTATCCTGTGCAAGAATGAGGGTTCAAACCCCAGAAGCAAGCCCAAACCACCAAGTGGTTTCCTGAGAATATGGATATGTTTTTGTTGTCTTTCCGGGGGTACCCTTGCCCACCATTTTGTGGGTCCAAAATCAAACACCCATCAGACACCCCCCACAACCACTTTACTGGGTCATTCATGAGTTTGACTGTTTCTGGAGGAGTATCAAAGGTTGTTTCCCTTCAAGGAGTGACTTTGACAATGGTAAATAATGTGGCCATTTTTAGGGGGAGCTGTATCGCTGTTATTATAAGCATCTAATCCCATTTGCTAGCCTAGCTTTCGTCTATGACTGTCAGTAGTAGCCTGCCAAAGTTGCGAATTCGCCTTTGGTGTGTTATTTCTTTCCTCTATGCGTTTTACCGCTCCACCAGAAATTCCCTTTCCCTGCAATATACTCAAGTTACATGGTTTCGACTGGGACTTTGAAGTTAAGCCCCAAGATTTAACACTTGAACAGATTAAACCACTTAAAAGGCGCTTTGGGGCTTCCCAAGCCAAATGGCCATAGGTCAAAATCCCGTACCCCCAGTGAACATCCCAATCCCCGCTAAAATAGACTAAAATGGGTGGTGCACCTACCCCAAAATGGTACCATTGGTAGCCAAGCCGAAGCCGACCGCTCCCACACCACGTGCTCCATGATGACCTGCCGCTCTTTGCCGCGCTCCCCGCGACCCCCAGGCGTGTCAGACGGCCAGGCATGGCAAATCAGCACCTGAGTCATACTCAAAACCCGGTACTGAAATGGTCGACCCAGAACCATGATTCAAGAATTCACAAGGCGGATATCCGCAGCTAATTATGGTTGGGATTGTCCCTTACTATCCTTCATCTACCCGGGTTTTGATAAAGCATCCCCGGCATCGCCCACTGTGCAAAGCCAACTTCCAGGAGGGAACAAGCACTGACTTTGCCGCATTTGTATTGCGTGCTTTGGCAACGCGTGCAAACGACCATGCAGTTTGGCCTTGTTGAACGCTACCAGCTAAGTGGGTCATGTGTTTTTTCCAGTTGCTTTTTGGACTTGCTTGTGGCCCGAACACGGCTCAAAGGAGTTGCAACGGGCTGAACTCAGCCAAATGTTTAACGAGCTAAAATCGCACGGTTTCAGGGGAACTAGCCTGGTCACTAATGGCTCGTGCTTGGGCCACCCTATGCTGGTCGCTGGTGTAGCGAGCTTATACCTGCTTCTCGTGGGTTTGTCCAGCTAGAGGGAATAGCCATGAAAGACCCGACTGGATCCACAGGAGTCCTTACACTCGCCCTTGAACATCCGGCCAGCAAAAGCTCGCTCTTCTCAAAGTGGCAACCAAACAGGGATGGTTGAACCACCCGAAACGAAACATCTAGAACCCTACACCGTGCTCAGAGCGGAGTTTGCATTTGTGCCCTCGGGGTCAAAACGGGGCCTGGGACCCCTTGATGTTCCTCTCATCCTCTCCAAAACAGACCAAAAAACCGGTTGGCTTCCTCTCATCCTCTGCAAACAAACCAAAACCATTTGGGGTGTTTCCTTTCTTTTGGCTGACACGTTCGTCGCCCCAAAGCGGTCCAAACCCCGCCCGAGGCGCGTCGCCGCCCTCCGCGGGGAGCACCACGCAGTGCCCAGGCCCCGCCCAGCCGCGGGAGCTCGACAGCACGGGGGCGCCGGACTTCACGTAGGGGCCACAGACCTGACGTCGCATGGGACCTCTGGGAAACAGATGGGGGTGGACACCCAGACCGTTTGAAGCACCCCCTTTTTGGGGCCAAGTTCAGTTTGCGAAGGTCTGGGCTGATGTTGGCAGCTTAGAAATTGACCTACCATCTACTTTAGGTTACGTTTTGGTGCGGCAGTGGTTGCAAACTTGACAGAAAAGGCACGCGAAAACGCTCGAGCAAAACAGGTTGAAACATGGGTTGAAGTGGAGTTCGAGACAAGTTGCACGAAAGGAGAAAGCAACATTGAGTTGTACCCTCTAGTAGGATGCTGGTGGTGTTGTCTTACACTGGACCCTTGCGGAGAAACAACATGCAAAGGGAAAGTTACCCAAAAACGAAGGGTCCTCACTGCAGGTCGCGGGTCCACAAGCGGGCTATGCAATGCTGCTGTGTTGATAATATTTGGTTCAAGACCACTTGATGGGACGCTCTTCCAAGCATATGGTGAAATGGCCAGCGATTTGCGCCACAAACGATCCGTGATCCAGGAGCTAAATGCGAGACCCCCCCCCGGACAAGTGTGCAAGGCTTGCCTGAGATACCTGACCAAACACGATTTCTTTAGTAGAAGAGAGTAGGTAGTTCCAGTGCCCTCATATACAAAAGCCACAGACTGCCAGTGACATCTTGTCTGTGACCTGTTTTGAGGCCTTTCACTTCACGTAGCTGTTGCCTCTTTCCCACCTACTTTAACGTTGCTAGTTTGGAAAATGCGCATTCACCAGGGTCACATGGCATGCACGGTTGGCTCCTACGGGATAAGACTCTGAGACGAGTCTGGTTCCGTCACTGGGCCAATACCTGACCTGTGAACATCGATTCTTGGGCAGACCATTTCAAGTATATCGGCCTCCCTCTCATAAATATTGATACGGGGCCCCTTCAAGAGGAAAAGGAAGGGTAGAAGCCATATATGGGTCATTGACGACTTCTCATTCATGACAACCGCGCACCAAAGGCTTCTAAGAGCCTTCTTAGACTGGCTGCGGACCTTTCTGGGGTTTCTGAGAGGAAGGGAGGCTTCCCGCTTCTTCCCCAACCGACAGCAAAACACGCCAAGCGCCTGCTCCGCTCGCGCCACTGCTACGCAGTAGCGATGGTTGGCATAGCACTCGCCAGAGTAAAACCTCAACTGTCTTCTCAGAATCTCTGGCAGACAACATCTCAGGCATGCTGACTTCCTTAACCATATTCGGCCTATGGCCCTCAAAGTGTTTGAATGCTTGGATTTGGAGCACGCTCTGGGCAAAGGTGGGGCTTTCGAGCGTGCTTTGCGAGTCTGCTCAGCTTAACGAAATGGCAAGCTAGGTTGCAGTTTATCCTCCCTACAACTCCTTGGAAATCCTTGGAAGTAGATTGCTCGTGGCTTTCCCAAACGAAAAAAAAGGACACAGGAAGGTAGTCACAACCCCAAACACAACAACATCAGATTCCAAGCAATGTGGCAGCAAGGTAGCGGCCGAAACCACAAGCAATGAAAAATCCTTGCCACTATGCACATTTCCAGCATACTCGAGCAGTTTTCAGGACATCGCATAGAACATTGCATGTCTTGTTGAGCACTTTGATCTGGATCCAATGCAGGCCGGACGCAGCATGACGCATCCCTACACGAATCGGAGTACATCCTACGGGCATGCAAGGGCACCAGAAGAAGGAGGGCATGCTGCAGTGCAGGGGACAAAACCAATTCGAAATGGGTTGGTCTCAAAAATGGGGACCCCAACAAATGCTAAAAAGGCCACACCTAAATCATACTCGGACAACCAGTTCAGGCAACCAAATCATTCTGGCGTCCCTCAGAAGCCTCGTTTCGGGGTTCCATTCGAACCGACAATAAGGGCTCCAACTGAAAAGAGGGGTGCCCTCTTAGACTGCCCAGATTTGTAAGGCATTCTGAAAGGCCTTTAACCCACAATCTCCTCGTGATCTGAACTAGCCGTGGTTTTTCTTGCCCAATAACTCAAAGATCCACGGAGCCCCCGTCCCCCTTCGGTCTCAAGGAAAATTGGAAAAGCCATTCCAGGAGCTAACCCCGCAAGAATGCCAATTTGCTGGGTGATTCGTGGAAAAAATGCCATCCCAGGCGTCTTTGCTCACGCATGAAAACAAGAGTCAGGCAAGGGACGGGGATCCAGATCGCAGGCAAGGGACAAGTAGTAGAATCCTCCTCGCTTCACCAGCCAAGGACCCTCCACCACAGCGCCTGTGCCAAAATCGGGGCTACGAAAAAAGCTCACAAGGAGCCCGCCGAGCAATTATGGCTAATGTTCATCTTGCTTTCCAGGAAAACTGCTAATCCACAAAACAACACCATGGAGCCCCTTGGGGGTAATACACACTCACGCATCCTCTCCTGCTCCTTGAACTTCCATGTGAGACCCAGTGTTGATGCCGGATCCTTTTCTTTTGAGGACAAGTTGCTCTACCTTTTCAGGGGCCATATTCTAGTCAAGGGAAACTCAGGGCTTGCTTGAAAGCACAATTTGCAGCTTGCCTCAAGATCCTGAATCATAGCAAATGAACTGCCGGCTGTCTCGATGACATGACGAAATCAGCCTGCCCTGGCAGTGCAATTGAAGTGTTGGCATGCTTCAGCAAAATGGCAACACGTGGTACCACTTTTGGTGCCCAAACACCCTCGCAATCACTCACTTCTCTGAAGCATTTTGAAACACACGACAGGCACAACACAAAGACAGGTGGCCGCCTGGGCCTAAGCGAGCCTCCACCAACGAAGTCCCATCCCGCCTTCCCACTTTTGGTCATTGCGAACCAGCTCCAGCTCCGAAGCTCCCGTCTCATCTTCCAGCTCTCCTTCCGGAAGGGCTGAAACGGACGAGTCACTTGCAGGTGGTACCGGTGTAGCCGGATGGCGGATGGTCCCATTTCACTCATTGGATGTAGCTCTCAATTGAAGAAGAACACCTCCCAGCTAGCTCAGAATTTGCCTCCCACTCAAAATTACACGTTTAGATTCTGGTCCATGATGGTAAACATTGAGTTGCCAAGTCATGTCAAAGGAATGCACAGCTAGTATTCCGAGATCACTGCTGCACATTGCTCTGTCCCATGGCCGTAGTTTTCAACAGGCGCCCGAAAAAGGACATACCTCAACAGGCTTCACAACAAACCTCGTAAGACCCAACGCATGCTAGTTGTCCTTGCTTGGCCAAAGGACCCGACACCAACAAACAAACTTGCCTTTGAGGTCCACGTGTAAAACATGGGCCACTGGGGAGCCAAAAGGTCTGATCTGGCCGCTGCATTTATAACTGGCCGCCAAGGCTCTCATCTTGATGACGGATTGAACCTTGTGAGCATTGCCATCGATTTTCCAAAGCACGTACTGCTTGCCGCTGTCCTCGTCGAAGAAGTAGCTCCTTGGCACCAGCCAAGCATGCCACAAAGGGAGTACATGGCATATGTCCAAAGCGGGAAGCCAGCTTTAAAGCAGACTGACACCGTCGAGAAACTCGCCTGTACCTGCCTGATGGCATTCTATGAGCTTGCATGATATGAACGTAAATATAGGGACGCGCCCGCAAAGAAAAAAGCAACTCCAGAGGAAAGGCTTTAGACGGTTGTATCTTGAGGCGTTGCTGACTGACTCGAAATCACAGTCCTGAGAATCTTAAATCGTGAATCCTGAAATGCTATGAAGCGCTTTGACACGTGTTAAGTACTCGGCGCTTGACTAGACCTAGACCTCGAGACTTCGCTGTTCATGCTTTTCAAAAGACAAGACTTTTGGGGCTTCCATTTCCAGTCTCCAATTGACGCCCCCGAAAAGGGTACAAAATAGACCACTCAACAAAAACATCAAAACCCTGCATGAAGCCCTGGTATGAAGCCCTATAGTTTATTGGCTAGTCCAGCACTAACCCCCACCTTGTTCTGCGAACCCAGCCGTCCCACATGGCCCCACGTCTCTCCGTGCCGCCGCGGGGCGCGTCGATGGCCCAGTGGGGGTCCTGCAGCAAAGGTCGGCCCAGGTCTACGTAGGGCCCCTCCGGGCGCTCTGCGAAGGCCATGCCTCAAAAGCGGGCGGTGGACAGCTGAAGGCTGCCCACCAAGGAGCCCCTAGTCAAAAAACAGATCCAAATGTTGATGAATTCTCTCTGACGCAAATTCCTGCTCATGTTCAAGATTCTGATGGCTTGAGCGTCACATTTTGAGCTTCCCTGTTGGGGAGGAAATCGGAGGAACTTAACCCCCGAAGCCACTTCCCAGGAACGGTTCCAAGGAATCTTTCTTAGAAGGGGTTCCCAGAAAAACTTTGAGAACCTCTCTACATCCAGATACCACAACGCAGAACCTTACCAATTAAACAACAACAAAACAACACTTAATTATATACCACTTGTCCGAAGGGGCCTGGAAACAACAAGCTACGGAACCTTTGGTGGCCCTGACAAGAAAAAGACCCAAACAGGACACCAAAAGGTTGAAGGTCGGCTTTGGGCAGCGTAGGTGAAAAATCACTGGCTGTCCGTCCTGCATTCGATCATATTATCACACACACACCCACCCACGGAGGATATGCACAGGCTCGGGTGCCCCGCCCGATCATGCGAATGGATGCGGGCATGCGTTAACAGGGCCGCCTCAATGGATTCGTCCGTGGAAGCGAGGTGGTACCGGATGAAACTGGCTGGATCACCATGCCCGTCGCTGTGGCAGGGTTAATTTTGGCAGTCAGGAACCTTGCTTCAACGGCGTGGCAAAGCACCAGCACAATCATAATGCCAAAGGAATCATGCACACGGTCGAGAACATCAATGCTCGACAAATGATAAATAATCTGAACACATGGGTGCACCTTGTGGCACATAGCTCTAGCAACCTGCAGCTGCAACAAGCTCAACGCAACTGATCACCAAAGCACTGTGGCGACGTGCGTGCTTCCAGAGGAGCACAGCTTGCGCATAATAACCTCCAGGGCAAATGCCCAATCCGTCACATGTGCAGGACCTCGGACAGCAAGGTCACTTCCGTACAAGTCGGTGCGTAAACCAGTTGTTGTTAGGTATTTTGAACCGCTATGCTTCAGGACGTGCAAAGCGGTGGGAGTATCAATTGCAAGGTACAGCACGTCAAACTCTCTAGACTTGATGCCTGAAAACCTGCAATACCAGCTGTTTGCGACCCATGCTATTCTGGAGTGCTTGCACTCGACTCGCAAGCTGCCGTTGAGCCAGTCATAGCTGGAGTTGCAATGGGCAGGCACTGGCCGATCACCCATAGTATGCAAACGTCCATCCATCTCCCGCACGATGTCCTGAATGATCATGCCACGGAAAGCAGGAGTTGAACAACCAAAAGGGTGTGATTGAAAGGCAGCTGACTCAAGGTTCCGCTTGGAAGACATATCGTACTGGCGTATTGCCTTTTGCACGACGTCATCGCAAGAACTCAGAGTGCACAGTGTCTTGTAAGTGTTTGTGGAGTCAATGTTGCAGGCAATCGCAGATGCAGCTTCTACGTGGCACGTCACGCCCTTGGGTGCTTGGTAGGATACATTGCATCTGTGATAAGCGGTGTGACCGCTGGATGAAATGCCTTTTTGGCAATCACGCTGAACAAAAGAGACCTGCCCAGGTGAGTACATGGCCAAAACAAGGCGGTCCGCCGGTTGGAGGTTCGTGCCACAAAAGAGGAAACGCCAGTAGGCTGGCTTTGCCTGCCAGCACATCTGGGCTGATTTGCACTGAACTCTGGCCCCATCACTCAGCCAGTCATACTCCGCTTGGTGAGAAGAACGTTGTGAACCATCGCACTTAGCTCCAGGTTGTGGGTCTTCGACAATCGAAGCCGGATAAGCCTGCTGGTAAACCTGTCTGGCCACTGCTTCCAGGATCTTGCCTCGTGCTGCCGGTACTACCCTTGCAAGCTTGCAGTCACCGTAGGCTGCAGCAGTCAGTCCTGCCCCTGCCTCTCGCAATGGCACTGGCAGGTCGCAGAAGCGAACCGCAACCAAACGTCGCGCCGTGAGCATCCGACATCGGCTCGCAATGGCGAGTCGCAACGCCTTGATTGGCAACTCCATCAAGTTATACCATGTATGCGCATGGTGTGCCACTGCCACCTTGTGTTGTTTGGTGATTTTAAAACAGCGTGCCCTGTGCAACTTTTGGCGGATCTATCAGACGCAGGTTACTAGCAGACAAACCCAAGCGCAACTGGCAACTGGGTGCGGTTTACATGATTTTGGGTAGACTCGGTCAGTGCGGGGTGTTGATTGGAACTCAGCTCGGCTAGTGACCCATGAAGCGGTTGCAGCACTCTTCGAAAGCAACATGGTTTTGGGAAGCCACACCAACATGCCGTCTAATTGTGCAAACTATACTGACCTCATAAAGGTTCTAAGTTTCGTCCTCACGCACGATGAAAGTTCCTCTTTTGGAAGCCTCATTGGATTTGAGTAAGGGTGGTTAATTACCAGAATTCATCCAGAGTTCTTTTTTTTTTTAATGTTTGGCTGCTCTGTCAGCCCCAACAAGAACATGACCAGCTCTGACCATTCCACGCGCACAAAAGGTCTTCATGATTTGCTTCTGAGATTCTCTGAACCTGCAACACCGGATGATCCACTTCTAGCTAAACAAGCCTCCACATGAAGAAGGCTCGCACATGCCCAAATTCAGGTCAACTAACTGCAAGGCAAGGACCATCAAAACAAATTGGGCGAGAACAAAGGACTTGTCCCAGTCACCCCAGTCATGCCAGTCATGCCCAGTCATACACAAATTCACGAGCGGGGATGGCGACATAGCCCACGTGCAAACCAAACTAACTGATCCGGCTTGGTCTTGGACCCCCTGCAAAAAGTGGACCTCCAGGTCAAAGCAAACAGCAACCAAGTAGCTAAGTAATGCAGGTTTGGTTCACACGTCCCTGGCACTAGGGGCTTCGTTCCCTCTCAACCCACCCTAAAAACGGCACCTTCCAAAACATGAACCAAGCTGAGAGTAGCGGAATCCATCCATTCTCCCGCAAACCGACCGTTCAAAGGACCCACTCGCCCTGCTCCTTTCGGCCCAGCGGCCCACGTGCATCGCGAGGCCCGCGTCCTGCGGCTCCCGCGCGCTGAAGAACACGGCGCAGCGCCCGTCTGGCAGCCTCCCATGCGAGGCCAAGCGCTTGGAGCCGAGCCAGGCCGAGTTTGGGGCGATCCGTAAGCTGTGTTGGCAGGGAAAATGTGGGCGTGAATTTTCATTAAAACTGTTTGGACGTCATCTACATGGGGGTTTATTTGTGTCCAGCCACTTTTGAAGGGGGGTCCTATTTAAATGCATTGCCGTGTCAGCCGATCCGCTCCAAGTTCCAAGGTTGGTGCCTTTCTAGTTGACCTGGCTTGACTCCGGCCCTGTTTGTAGACAAGAGTGGTTGCTGGCCCAAGCTTGGACAGTACTGTATATATGTCAAGCCACCCACAACATCAAAGTACGCAGGGGTTGACGGATCCACCGCAGCCCGGCTGGCTACCATCCCGTGCAAGTACCCCAAACTTGTGCCAGTTGGTCATGACATGCCATGCTTAGCAAGCTGATTCTTGCATGCGGCCCAATCTGCAGTTTAAGGTGGGATGATAATGCTTAGTTGCAATCCACAACTCTGGTGTGAAAACCAAAACAAGGCAACTTAGATACATCTCGTTGGTTCTTGCTGTGCCTTTGTTGTAAAACATCAGGTTGTGAAATAATGCAACTTCCGAGGTGTCTATGGCCACACAGCTCTGTGAGCTCAAGTCCCCCAAGTAAGGCACCTTTCCCAAATAACCCGTTGCAAAGCAAAACCTGTACAATTGTCGCGAGTCCGTTTGCCCAAATCCCATATATACGCCACAGTCTATATTCATTGTGCTTCCACGTTTCTATTGTACTTGGGTGCGAACCCTTCATAGTCTAATTGCAATTCGGTATGTGTGCCCCATGCCATTCCCGCAGTGAATGCCCATTGCGAAGGAAAGCCCAGCAGCTGATGGATCTCTGGAGCCCAGTAGTCGCACTTCCTCGGAGCGGACGTGGCTCTAGCCGGCAGAGGGTGCGAGTTAAGCGAAACAGCCTAAATGAAAATGTATCTGAACTGGTTGAACCATTGGGTGTACAGCCTTGACATGGGAAGTTGTGTCCATCAACCATATTTTTTTGTGTGTGGGAGGGTCCTTCCCCAAACAAAACACTTCAAACGGGTTCTACAAATATGGGTTGGTGCAGCCCATTTCAAAGCATAGTCGTCTTCCAGGAACGGTCTGTCCCTTCTATGTTGGTAAGTATGTGTCCCAAACGAGGTGGACTCCCATTTCTCTCATTTTCTCGGAAACGACATCAAACCAGTCATTTTTCAGGGGATCTAGTTTTTGCACACCGATTCAAATAAATGATCCCAACTGAACCGGGACGACTGTCGCAGGCTTGAGGAACAACAAACTCCTGACTTTAGCATGTGAGTTGCATGTGGGAGAGGCGATCCATCTTTCTCGGTCTTGCATCTACTGACTCTGTGTTTGCTGACTGGAGCGGCAACAAAAGGCCAAGTTTACATCTGAGGCAAGCAACCATCAAAAGGAACAAACACCCACACAACCCCAAACACGCACCGCTCAAGCCTCAAACTTTGCTCTCAAGGGCCTGGTTGGCCTCCGTTGACCTTTCTCCTTTAACCTTCGGCCTTAACTACTCGGGTGTGTCTTTGAATCAGTGGCATTCCGGGCATCACTCACATGCTCATTTCGGTCCACCAACTGGTTCTGCGCGTGTTGCCGCAGTAAAATCCGCCGCCACTTGGCCCCTTCAGCCGGAGGCGCTCGCCATGGGCGCCGCCGCTCCAGGCTGGCAGCGTCTTGGCGTCAAAGACCTCCGCTGTGAGAACATCACCGCGGTTTGATGTGTGGAAAGTGGGATTTGGACCCCGCAAACTGTGATGGTCCTTCTGGTTTTCCTTCAAAACCCTGGAAAAAAAACTCACCCAGTTGGCTCAAAAGGGTCTCAAAACAAGGGGGACATGTTGGTGGGGTCTTGAAGGGCCCACAACCTTCCTGTGATGCCTTGAGATGTTTCTCTTTGGACTCCCGCGCTGATTAATCACGACCACAATAAGGATACGTAAATATCCCTCCGTTAGGTCAACTTGGCGAAGCCACCATTGCAAAATTCCGGTGCTTTCGGCTTGGTTTTCCTTTGCCAGTTCCATCTATCTGTCCGAAACAACGCCTAGAGCAATTCCAGTCTGCTTTCAGACGTTCTGTGTCTTTCTGTCTATCTCCCCAGTTTGCTTGAAGAGGTGCCTTTACTTCTCACCTCACTTCCTGCGTTGTTTGCCATGTTCTTCGCAACAAGGTCCAGGGACTGAGGGAAGGACTTCCAAAACCTGAAATAAGGGATTCCCACGTAAAGGATCTGTACCACGGTGAGCTTGTTTTACCCCCAGAATCGGTGAGCTCGCCATAGGCAGAAGGATCTCAAAAGGTCCCAGCCCCCGACCAGCCGGGAGCTGCCTGCGGGCCCGGCCACCCGGCCTGGCCGCACATCTCCCAGGCCACCAGGTCCCGACTGCGCAGCATCCGGAAGGCGCCTGAAGAACCCCTCCCAATTCAGCCAGCGCTTTTTTACACCCAAGGGGCATGGGGAAAATTGAGTGAGTTCCCCCTTGAGTTTGTTGCAAGAGTGAGTTCTCCCCCGGTTTCTGGGAAGAAATGGTGAGTTGCCCTTAGTTCTTGCGGGAAAAACGAATAAGTGTCCCCTGCTGTTTTGTGCGAAAAGCTGGGTTCAGCAATTTGGACTAAGTTCCCCCCAGATTGAAGTTTCGAGAGTTCCCCCGAAAAAAAAGAAACAAACTCCAAAATCTCAGCAACCATGTCCCAAATGGAAATTCAAAAGAACACCTTCAATAAATGCGGAAACTCAAACTACTCACAAAAACCAAAACAAAACACACGGTGCAGCAACCTTGTCCTGGAATCTCAGATGGAAACAACAGAAGCTGCCAGCGAATGCGTTAAAAGTAAGCTCAGGTTGGAAGCCAAAGAAACTGTCAGCAAATGCGTTAAAGGTAAGCTCAGGTGAAATCCCCAATAGCATGCGCTCATTTTCGACCCTCACAGAGTCCTGCGAAACTTGCCGCAGAGCCGCGCAACCCTCGCGCAACTCTTCCCAGAGCCGGAGCTGAAACCCTAAAGCTTTCAGCTGCTGGGGAAGACGAGAGTCGTTCCGCAAGCTGGGCCATATGTCTATCCTGAAACGTCGAGGACATCCTATGCCGGTTCATCTTAGAAGATAAGCCGGCACCGGAACCCACCCACCAACCGAGGACCTGTCCTCCAGGTCCACCACCCGTGGCCACCAAGTAGTAGTACTCTCCGATCTTGTTCACCCCCGGGTCCGGGTAGTTCCCCGCGACCTGGAAGCATTCGAGCTTGCTGGCAGCCGCCCGGTGCTCTTGGCGCGGAGGTCCGGCGAATTGCCACTCATCTTTCTCGTTGATTGCCGTGTCATGAAGTTACCAGGTTCAAGGCCTGTTTCAACTGCAGCTTCTTTGTTGGTTGATTTGCGGTCTGGCTGGTTGAAGCTGAATCAGCTACCTTTCTTTCCTGATCCATCGAAGACCTTATGGCTCCTTGCAGCTGTACTTGTTGCAATGGTCTACTCAATGTCCGAACCTAAACAACTTCCCTCCCCAACAAAACAACCAATCCCTGTCCCCCTCCAAAACGCAAAACGACAATGGAGAGTTGTTCAGAAAAAAAGCGAATCACACTAGACAAGGACAATTTGTCAAGCCCTCCTTCGACGGGGCCCCTTAATCTCAATCCTGGTTCCCATTCTGGTCCTAAAATCCACATCAGGCCCCTTACTCCGCGGTCCAAACACAACTCCAGACTCAATCCTCCAAGCCCTGACAACCAGGTTCTTTCCGGGTTCCCTTCAAAACAACACCAAAAGGAGGTTGTACTAAAACAATGGCGTAAACAAGCTTCAACCAGACATTGAATCGCTCAATTTTGAGAAATGGCTGCGCCGCGAGGCGTGCGGCGTGCGGCGAAATGCTCAGCGCGGGGCGATGGGGTTCGTGAAGAGCTCCTGACTGTGCCAAAAGATGTGAGATCGGCGACACTGGCCGACATTGCCTAAGAGTCTGGGGAGACAAGGTCAATCGTTTTCCCCAAAGTATGGACAACCGCCCACTGAAGTGCTGCTCATGTATAAAACTGGGAAGAAATGCGAAGGCCAGGGGCGAGGGGAGCAACAGTTGTGTGTTGAACAGCTGGCGTTGGCTTGATGGGTTTGGCAAGCTTTACAAAGCAGCCAAGAGGAACCGCTGTCTGAAGAAGCCTCGAACTCAATGAGCGGGCCCTCTATCTTTTTGCACAAAGAAGGCCCTCAAAAAGGGTTTGCACAGTGATAAAAGAGTCCCTTTGCTTTGCCAACGAAAATGGATGGGCAAACCCTGGCCAGGGAAGCCAACAAACAATCGTGGTTCAAACGCGCTTCAACAGATGCAGGCACTGGCAAGCAATGCACTGGTCAGGCCAGGACCTCAAACAGGATTGTAACTAGTACCTAGACGTCCAATCCGGAGATGATATCAACCGCCAAAAAGAAACTCACCTTCAATAGGCCATTCCAGGGGTGGTGGTTGAAACACACCAATTCAGGAGACTCGAGTTGTCACCCTCGCCAACTGTTTAAATTCAACCCTATCTTCATCTTCAACGAAATCGAAATAGAGTTGTAACCCTGTCACATTCTCGTTCAAGTGATGAACCGCATCCCGAAGCCTCCCTTTCTCGATCCGCGTCAAGGAACCTGTCCAGCCGTCCTCTGCTGCAGCTGCTCCATGGGCCATGACGCGCCGATGGCCAAAGGGCGAACAGAGGTTGACGGAGTTTTCGGGGGTGGTCAAACTGACAGAAATTCAAAGGTCTCATCAAAGACCTGTCCAAAAGGCCACAGGCCGAATCAAAGAGCAGCCAAGATCCAGGCGGCCCGGTGAACCACAACAAATCCAGGCCAACTTTGGGATCCGCGTCAGTTACACACCGCGGGTAAAGCAACGTGAACAAGCAAAACTGACCTTGTTGCATTTGCAGCTCCACAATGAACTCACTTTTGCGTGCTGGTGTTGATTGTTAAAATAGCATTCCCCAAATTGATCGGGTCCAGCAACTGACTAACAGCACCAAGCAGGAAACTCAAATCAATCCGAACAACAGGGAAGCTTTGTGGCTCATGTTGAGACGACACGTGCACGGGTCTCGTGTCTTGAACTTGGCTCCGATCTGTTTGACTGTTCGGACTGGTGGTTTGCATGGGCGCCATACCACACTGCAGCGTCTTTGGCCGCCAAGGGCGCTGCAAGCTATGAGCAAAGCGTCAGCATGTGACAGAGCCCTTGGTGCATGTCCGAAGATGTCCTAAGGTCCTACCCGCATGTGGATGTACCACCAAGCCAAAATCATTCGAAGAACCAAATCCTTGCAAGGGACACACTGGATGGGCAAGCCCTGTAATGCCCATTCTGTGCATGTCCTGGCCTCTTGGCTTTTGGCGAGGGACTGCCGTTTTAGCGCCCCTTGAGAAAGCCAAGCACCCCGAAGAATTTAAGAAACCGTCTTCAGGAAGGGTCCCTGTATTTGTCCACCAGGAGCATCATACCCTGGTAAATACCGACACCCAGTTGCTAGAACGAGCTTCTTTTGGGTGAACAAGCATGTCAAACACCTTCCAGACCGTTCCATGCAGCAGGGGCGGCTTCCTCCTGCTCAAGGCGGTCTCAGCAAAAATAAATAAAAACTAGGGGTACCTTCCATGTCCATTCTTTCCAGGGATCCTTCTTTTCAGGAAACCATCAAAACCCCAGGGGAAACGGCTGGTTTTGAAAAGAACGATGGTTGAAAATAATGGGGAATCAACCCCTAGCAAACTGGAAATTCATAATTCTCCAAGGAAGGGACCTTTGCGGGCAAGCTTCATTTGTCCCCAACTCAGCTCACCAAAACTTGCGCAACAAAACCCAAGGTCCTCGAAGGCTTCCTCAAATTTGTCCCCTGCATCGCCCCCCAAATAAGATCGCCCAACATCTTGGTTGACGTTGGAAGGGGAGCAAAAATTTAAATTTGAGCAGTAAAGTGGATTTGCATTTCAACCACTAAACCACAATAAGCAAAAACGGGAAACCATGACATGTCCTCGTAGAAAGCCCGACCCCAGCCGCGGCTGGGCGCCCGGGCCACTGCTGAGCCACGCCACCGTGGAAGCCATCCTCGCGGGGATCAGACGCGTTCAGTTGAGAATAAAGCTGACTGAGGTATGCGTGTGTATCACATGAACCCGAGTTTTATTTGCCATTGGGATTCATGTTAATTACCCGAGTCATATTCAGCTTCGCAGCAATAAACATAATGTTTATTCTTTGTGGGTATGTGTGTATGGGGAAAATAACACCACCAGGAAACCGCATGCTTTAGTCTTTGGTTTCAGAAACCAGGATTCCCAAAACGGGTACCTATTTTTGACCCACAGCCATGTCAGAACTCCCAGCCTGCTGCTGCGGCTGCTGCTGCATCGGCGGCTGCATCTGCCTGCTGTTGGGGCGTGACCCGCCCTGGCAGCGGATGCAGCTGATGCACTAGATGCAGCGCCGTGGGGTCGTGGCTGCTGTGCAAAAAGACTGGCAAGTCACCAATTTTCGCACGCAGGGGGCTCTTATACTCCTGACCAAATTTGCATTTAAAGTCTCGCATGACTCAAACTCCCAGAAACCGCGAGCGAAAATGGGTAGACTGGCAGGTCATCATGGGAAGGACGCTTAAAAGGCATAGTTCCTGAAATGGCGTTAGCTTCGTGTTGGCTTTCCTTTTGGCACACTTTCAGATTTTAGGACACGTGCTAGTGTCAGAAGCTGTAGCCTGTGGCTTATCCAACGGGGTCCCAAGCTTAGGACATCCAGGAAGACTAATTTCGGGACAGCCGATGGTGCGTTCGATCCACCTCGCCCCCCTCTCTGTGCCTGCGCGTAGGCTTGCATGTTGTAGTGCCTGCGGTGGAACAAACGTTCAGGAGTGCTCCTTGTTGACTTTGCCGAGATTGCGTGCTTTTTGCAACAGCTTTGGGGCAAGGCTAACCATCTGGGGCTCTTGTTGAGCAGGGGAGAAGTCTCGTGCAAGGAAAGCAACATGGGCAACCAAGGGAGACAAACAAAGCCGAATTTACATATAAGCTGGTTAGTCTAAGAATCGCTTCCAAAAGTGAGGCTTGCCAGTTAAAGCGGAAACAGTGTTTGTCAAGAAGATCAAAGCTTAAGGGTCACCGCAAGGCAAGTTAACGATGTACAAACTGACCCATGTTGATCCCCAACCCGCAAAAAGCAATTCAGGGGAACGAACGAGAAAAGAAGCTGAATCAAAGCCTCAGAGCAGCTCTTAGTTAAAAAGGTGGCTTTCAACTGACAAGCGAGGAATTGGCTACAGCTATTCTTAGCATGCTAGATAGAATCATTGAGACTCCCTATGATGCAACATTCAAGCTGGCGGGGATTATAAGCAAAATACTAGAGCCTCTCAGGTGTGCTATAGTCAAAATGTCAAGATTGCTGCCTACAACATAAGAGTCTCACAGCTCTTGCAACCGGTTGCAACCTTCTCCTGTCTGCAAGGCTTACATGCTGCCTTGCCGCTGTGGTCTCCTTTCGCCTGATACGCCAACACTGAGGTATAGCTCAACTTCCGCATGATGAATCGGACTCAAGTCATTGCCTGAGTCGATGCTTTAGCTAAGGGTAGAGGGCTCCTTCCTTACATCCCTTGAAACACCAACCAACACCAAGAGGGGCTCCCCAACCACAAAAGGGACGGGTCCCCAACTTGAGGAATCGCCCAGATCATCCCAAGATCCCAACCTTTTCCGCATCTTTCCACAACTTGGGACTCCTACAAACGGCGCCGTGTCCCTTTTGGTTTCCAGCAAAACCACGCGAGAAGAGGGGGGGGTTCCGGGGTCAGGACGCCCACGCCTGGTGGTAGGCGTGCCTTGTGCCTGTGCCACCGTCTCCGGGTAGCCCTCGTTCACCTCGAAAAGGGCGCGTTCAGACAAGAAAACAGATACCACCTGCGAATTCCCTGCAGTGGGCTTGGAAAAAGCTGATATATATATATATATATATGTATATATATATATATCTACATATTTACTCAGGCCTCTCTTTTGTGGAGAGTGTCTCATGCTGATTTTGTCGTGCCCTCCTTGGCCATATCACAAACCTTCTTCGATGGCCGGGCCTCCGTGGATTGAGTTGGGCTGTGAAAGGTGGCCGCTTTCGCCTGAAACAAAGTCGACCCCAAGTCAAGGAAACCAACCCAGGAAAGCTCACTATGCGACCTGTCTTGGTTGCTGCAACGACCCCTCTGCAAAAAAGTTTAACTTTTTGTGGGTTCAATTCGGAAACCGCTTTATTTCAAAAAAAGTTACAGTCTAAAGATCCAACCAAATTAGCAATCCAGCTTTAAGGCCAGAAGAGGGTCTCATCACATCTCATTGCTGGGGCGAGATTCGTGTTCGAGCCACACCAAACCTGTGCTCCAAGGATCCCATCCTTGAAATGTCTGTCCGTTCAAAGAGGTCCTGCAGTTGGCAACTCTAACCGGTGGCCCAAGTGACGTTTAAACAGGGACTAAGTATGACTAAGTTGCGCCCATTGAGGGAAGGAGACGTGTGAATTGGCTTGGCTCGGGGATTTGACCCAGTGCCGCTGGAATCCTTCCGCTCGTAAGGCCAAAGGATGTCGAAACATAACCGAAGCATGGGAGCCCCAGCAAGCCGCGACAGCGGCGACGGCGCCCGGTCCTCACCTGATCCGTTGTGTGCCATGATCAAAACTCGACACATGTGGGTCACGTTGTCAGGGCGCACTAAAATCATAATCAGTCATAGAGCTTGGTGTGAAGTGGGTCTACCGAAGAAAAACACTCTGCAATCTGCAACATGGGAATTGGCTGGCCGCACCTATTTATGGATGGGAGACAGTCCCCTACTAAACTTCACTTGCCCAGGGGCGCTTGTGTAGATGACGTTGTTTGGGTGACAAGGGCACCGGCCGAGCTAACTTCCCGCCCAACTCGTGGATGGAACACCAACTGGAGGCGGGGTGTGGGAAGCAATCGAGACCTCCTTATCGCAGTTGTCACCCTCTGTCCTTCCCAAACCACCAGTAGACCACTGATATTATCCGTGACTATCGCTGCTTCAAACATGTTGCCCAACCAACAATAACAATAATCACATACAAGGTCTGTCTTGGCTTGTCCACCTCCTCATATCCTAAAGGTTGTTTGTCGTTGTTCACAGTCAGTCGGGGTTTGTCCACGCCCTCATAACATGACAAACACACATACTATCGCTGCTTCAAGCATGTTGCCCAACCAACAAGAATAATAACATGTACAACAAGATGTTTGCTTCTGGCCCGCCTGTAACGACCCCCCCCCCCTGGAATGCCAGGTAAACATGGTTTTATGTATTTGCTGTTTATATATATATAAGAAAAACAAAAAGAACAAACATAAACACACACAGAGAAGAATATCAATAAAACAGGAAGCAATGAGAAACAACAGAATAGAACAACCAAGAAACAAAAACAAAAAAAAACACCCAAGCGATGCTGGACCCGTGACCTGCACCGCCCGCCGGCCGCGAGAGCCGGGACATACCGCCTCAGTTCTTTTGAAAGGGAGCGACCCACTGGGCTGTCCGGCTTCAGATGTTGCCAAAAGTTTTCCAACTTTGAGTGGGGTGGAGCTGCTTCCAAAAAGGCTTCAACATGCCTCCAATTCATCATAACGTTCATGC